GTGGGTAAAATATGTGACTGTGTGTCAGAAATGTCCTGCTATCTGTCTGTACTTTAAGTCTTCCATTTGGTCCCCTAGGGGAGTGTCCACCAGGTGGGAGACCTGCATAAATACGGGCAGGTAGCCCACAGTAAACCCAGATCCTTATTTGACCCTCAATGCGGAGCTTCTGTCTCGTTATTGGGGGGATTTCTTCTTCACGTTTAGAGACTGCTGGATGGAACGAAAGGGGATATTATTGTTCGACGGTTCCTAGCAGTTCGTATATTGCCGTTCGGGAGTTTGGAGCCGTTCGTGGATTTCGATCGGGAGATTGCCGCTTCCCCTGCATTTGGTTCGTGGGTTACAGAGTAAGCGAACAGAGACTGTACTGCAGCCGGGGAAGGTTTACTAAACGGCGGTTTGGCTTAAAGACACGGGAGGTGTCTTAACAATTGGTGGCAAGCGACGGGATGAATCCTACAGCACTGGAGGTCAGCTACAAGAGATGCAGTACGAGGAATTAAGGCGTGCTACACTTAAGGACATATTGGAACGCCGAGGAAGGTCAGCAAGCAATTTAAAGAAACGGGAGATTATTGCTTTGCTAATGGAGATGGATGCAGCAACGGGAATGGAAAGAGTCAACGTGCCCAGTACCTTGGATTTAACACCCGAGGAAATACAATTCAACCGGGCAGTACAAATAAGGCTGGCACATTTTGGCCCCAACCCCTCAGCTGACATCGTGGTTCGTGTGCAGGCAGCAGTTGCAACACAACAGGCAGCCCGGGAAAGAGGAGCTGCAGCAGCAGAGGTACCGTATGACAATAATGTGGTTGCCAGAAAGAAGGTACCTTTTGCTGCATTTAAAAATTTTGTGGAAACAGAGGGAGAGATTGATGGATTTTTGGCAGACTTTGAGAGGCAGTGTGCGCTACATCAGGTACCTGCAGATGAATGGGTCACCATCCTCTCTGGGAAATTATCTGGCCGGGCTAGTGAAGCTTTTCGGGCCATCCCAGAGGAGGAGATCACCAGCTATCGGGCTGTGAAAGAGGCGCTCCTAGCCAGGTATGCAGTGACCCCAGAGGCGTACAGGCGGAGGTTTAGAGAAACCAACAAGCTGGTTGGGGACTCTTATGTGGAATGGGCCTGCAGAGTCCATCGTACCGCAGCCCACTGGATGGCTGGATGCCAAGCGGTAACTGGGGAGGAGGTATTACAAGTGTTCCTGCTGGAGCACTGCTTTGATAGACTACCTGCTGGGGTCCGGGAATGGGTCAGAGACAGAAAACCCTCTACCCTACCCGAGGCTGCCCGTCTGGCAGACGAATACACGGATGCCCGCAAGTTGGATGGTACAGCTGCTAAAGCCCCTGCCAGACTGGAATATCGACCAGCAGTAACACCCGCTCCTGCAGTCTACCAACCCCCAGTACACCGTACCCCAGCTGCACCACCAGCTAACAATTATATGCAACCAGCCCGATTTAATGCCCGGGAGTACTCCCAACCCATCCGGTGCTATGGGTGCAAGCAGTTGGGGCACAAGCGTCCTGAGTGCCCCCTGAACAGTGCCAACCAGGCTCAGTCCTGGAGGAGACCAGTTAACGGAAACCAGCGCCCACCTCAGCCTGCTGCTCACTGCCTAGAGCAGGAGGAATTTTGGGGCATTCTGCACGAGGCAGACCCAGTGCAAGCGGCTCACCAGGATAATCGCCAGCAACATCGGCAAACTGTGAAGCTAAATGGCAGAGTGGTGAATGGGCTGAGAGACACAGGAGCCACGATGACACTGCTCCAAAAGAACTTGGTCTCAGAGCATCAGCACACTGGGGACACTGTGGCAGTAAGGGTAGCAGGGGGTGCCGTGTTTCGCTTACCTGTTGCCCGAGTACATTTGGATTGGGGAGTGGGCGCTAGGCATGTGGATGTGGGGGTGATGAAGGACTTGCCCGCAGATGTTCTTTTGGGAAACGATTTGGCCCCTTTGGTTTCAGCCTATGCTCCGATGGGCCCTGCAGACGTGAACCCAGTGACCACCCGTGCCCAGACCCGTGCTGCCGGAACCAGCCCACTTGCTGACGAGACCCAGGTAAGATCTCCTTCCCCGACTGATACCCCAGATCAGGTCCCCTTAAGCTGGGATTCCCCAGAGGAGTTTGGGAGGGAAACCCGGGCAGATCCGACCCTCCAAAGATACAAGGACAGGGCAGAGGCTGGGGAGGAAGGAATAGATGGGGAACGGTATGAGTGGGTGGGGGACAGGTTATATAGGATCCCTAAACCTTCCCAGAAGAGTGTTGCCTCTCCGCCGAATCGCCAGTTAGTGGTACCTGCAAAGTACCGGCAGGAGATTCTGCGGATAGGGCATGATGTTCCTTTAGCTGGACATCTAGGGTCCCGCCGCACAGCCTATAGGATTTCACAGAACTTCTTTTGGCCAAACTTTAACCAGGCTGTGCGGATGTACTGCAGCACGTGTGACACATGTCAACGGGTAGGAAAGCGGGGGGACCACCCTAAGGCTAGGCTATTATCGATGCCTATTATAGGGGAGCCCTTTGCCCGCATAGCCGTTGACATTGTGGGTCCACTGGCCAGGGCTAGTCCATCCGGTAAGAAGTATGTTCTTACCGTGGTGGACTATGCCACCCGCTATCCAGAGGCAGTAGCGCTGTCTAACATAGAGGCAGAGACGGTTGCTGATGCCCTGGTTAGAATTTTTACTAGGGTCGGGTTCCCTAAGGAGATCCTCTCCGACCAGGGAACCCAATTCACCGCTGTGCTCACCCAGCAACTGTGGAAGGTGTGCGGCATTAAGCCGTTACTTAGCTCACCCTACCACCCACAGACTAACGGTCTCTGCGAGCGCTTTAACGGTACCCTCAAACAGATGCTGAGGACCTTTACAGACACTTGCAGAGACTGGGAGAGATTCCTGCCTCATCTATTATTTTCTTATAGAGAGGTGCCCCAGGAATCTACTGGGTTCTCCCCCTTTGAGCTGCTGTATGGGAGAAGGGTCCGCGGACCCCTAGATCTCATTAGAGGCCACTGGGAGGGGGAGACGGAGCAGGAAGGGACCCCCATAGTGCCATATGTTCTGGAACTCCGGGACCGCATGGAGAAACTGTCCCTGATGGTAAGAGAGAATCTCCAGGCGGCCCAGGGGAGACAGAAGAGATGGTACGATCAGGGTGCCCGACAGCGGGTCTTCCAGGTTGGGCAAAAGGTATTGGTGCTTAAACCTGTGAAGGCCAACAAGATGCAAGCATCTTGGCAGGGCCCGTACAAGGTAGTGGCGCAGATCTGCGACACTACTTACTTGATAGCCAGCTGTGCAGATGAGAGGATCCAGCGGTCCTTTCATGTGAACATGCTGAAAGAGTACCAGGAGAGACCTGAGAACATTGCAGCAGTGTGTGCCCCAGCTGCAGATGATTCTGAGAATTTACCCCTTCCAGATCTATTAGAAAGGGATTCCCAGACTGACCTTACTACCTTGGTACAGCTAGGGGACCGGTTGAACCCCACAGAAAGGGTACAGGCGCAGCAGTTGTTATGGGAGAAGCAGGCGACGTTCTCCCAGGAACCAGGTTATACCACCCTAGCTGTGCATAAGGTAGAGACCCCTGGACAGACCCCGTTACGACAGCCCCCCTACCGTATCCCTGAAGCAGTCCGTGAAGGAATGCGGAAGGAGATACAGGAGATGACCCAACTTGGGGTTATCGAGCACTCCGACAGCCCTTGGGCCTCGCCTGTAGTCCTGGTGCCCAAGAAAGATGGGACCACCCGGTTCTGTGTGGACTACAGGCGACTCAACGAGCGGACCACCACTGACGCCTACCCAATGCCCCGGGTAGACGAATTACTAGATCGTATTGCCAGGGGGCGATATCTGACCACCATAGACCTGTGTAAGGGCTACTGGCAGATCCCCCTGGCCGAGGATGCTATCCCCAAGTCGGCATTTGTCACCCCATTTGGCCTGTACCAATTTAAGGTCATGCCTTTTGGGATGAAAAATGCACCGGCTACCTTCCAACGGATGGTGGATAGACTCCTGGATGGCTTCCAAGAATTTGCCTGTGCATACTTGGACGACATTGCGATCTACAGTGGGTCCTGGGAGGAACACCTGGTACATGTAGGGGTAGTGCTGGATAAGATTAGGGCCGCTGGCCTGACGTTGAAGCCAGAAAAGTGTCATCTAGGTATGGCTGAAGTGCAGTACCTGGGTCACAGAGTGGGGTGTGGGAGCCAGAGACCAGAGCCAGCCAAGGTAGAAGCAGTGGCGAACTGGCCCACACCCACTACTAAGACCCAGGTATTGGCCTTCTTGGGGACGGCAGGGTACTACAGACGTTTTGTCCCTGACTACAGCGCTATCGCTAAGCCCCTGACGGACCTGACGAAGAAGAACTTGCCTAAGCAGGTCCTGTGGTCTCCGGCTTGTGAAGCTGCGTTCCAGGCACTGAAGCAGGCTCTTGTGAATGCCCCTGTTTTGGCTGCCCCAGTCCCTAACAAACGCTTTCTCGTCCATACAGATGCTTCCATGTATGGACTGGGGGCTGTGCTGAGCCAAGTCGGGGAAGATGGAGGAGAGCACCCTGTCGCATATCTCAGCAGAAAGTTGTTACCCAGAGAAGTGAGTTATGCGGCAGTGGAGAAGGAATGTTTGGCCTTGGTCTGGGCACTGAAAAAGTTAAGCCCCTATTTGTATGGGCAAGAGTTTTCCCTTGTGACTGATCACAACCCACTCGTTTGGCTTAACCGGGTCTCAGGAGACAATGGGAGACTGCTGAGATGGAGCTTGGCACTACAGCCTTACAATTTTACCATCAGCTACAGACCCGGTAAGCTAAACGGAAACGCAGATGGGTTGTCACGACAAACAGACGTTTCCATCACCTCGTAGTCCGGTCATCCCCAAGTTGACCCGCCACAGGGTCAAGCCGGGTCTGCCGGAGTGTCCCACAAGGAGGGAGCCGTGTGACAGAACCATCTGTCTGCTGGATTTTTGCCCGTTCGTCTGTTTGTCCCCGTTCGTATGAATGGCTGGTTTCTATAGCCCAGCCATTCGAATGACTCTTTTTCCCGAACAAATCTGCCGAACGAACGGCCACCCAAGTGAGGAGTGTGCTGCAGGTTAACGAAGTGATCACCATTATAACGTTGTGGTTAACCGCAGACACTTCTCAATTAAACCGAACTCAGGGTGGTCGTCGTTCGTATGTCGACCACGAGGCAGCGGCCATTTTAAATCATGCGAACGCTCAGCGGTGTTTGGCTCTATTTCTATGGAACGGAAAACGGACACTTTTTCTGTCGAACACCGCTGAAACAAGGGAACGCCTGGCTGCCTCCACGAAAGCATGCGAACATCGGCCGTTCGGGAGATTGAGAACACACAAAAGACTTAACCCAGATAGCCCACCCATGGAGTCATTCGTGTACCGAAGGACTGTAAGAACTTTGACTCCATGGCGATTGAACTATGTGTGTGGGATCTGAGCGCTATTCGCCAATAATATGCACTCAGATCCAGGCTATCTGGGGACATGTAATACGAATGGGAAATGTTCAGTCTTCATGTAGTTATGCATTTTTGTGTCTTTTATTATTTCATGTTTAAGATGGCGACTGTCCTTGTCCTGGAGTTAATTGAGTTACTTGGTAATTAACTCCAGGACAGAGGGGAGGGAATCAGAATGTACTGTGGGTAAAATATGTGACTGTGTGTCAGAAATGTCCTGCTATCTGTCTGTACTTTAAGTCTTCCATTTGGTCCCCTAGGGGAGTGTCCACCAGGTGGGAGACCTGCATAAATACGGGCAGGTAGCCCACAGTAAACCCAGATCTTATTTGACCCTCAATGCGGAGCTTCTGTCTCGTTATTGGGGGGATTTCTTCTTCACGTTTAGAGACTGCTGGATGGAACGAAAGCCGCTTTGGGGATATTATTGTTCGACGGTTCCTAGCAGTTCGTATATTGCCGTTCGGGAGTTTGGAGCCGTTCGTGGATTTCGATCGGGAGATTGCCGCTTCCCCTGCATTTGGTTCGTGGGTTACAGAGTAAGCGAACAGAGACTGTACTGCAGCCGGGGAAGGTTTACTAAACGGCGGTTTGGCTTAAAGACACGGGAGGTGTCTTAACACAATGTTTAACTGTAAAGTTCCCAGAAATTTGTTGCAAGATATGAGGTAGTTATTGTTACTCTTCTTGTTGTGTTCATAGTCATAGATATTGTGTGTTACATGGATATCCTGAGATAAACTGCATAGTAGTTTATGATGGAAGTCCTATTCTGTGAGAAAATAGTTTTTACAGATAGCTTTATACACAGACTATGTGGCTACCTATAAATGTCAACACTATAGTTATAATTTGAACAAAGAGCAGATTGCTAGGTACTTTGTTTTGAGCAACCATTGGGCTTAAATCTTTTTTTTTTTATTATTTAGTGCTGGATTGCTTTTGTATCAAAGTGAAAATTTCAAATATATTTCTATTCAATATTTTTTTTCTTGTTCAATAAGCCTACAAGAGCTCTATCTGCTGTAAGGCACATAAAATATATCTTAAAACGGGTCAGTATAATCCGTTTGCAGACTGAACTGAGGATTTACAAATAATAACTTTATATATAACATGCTGGGTACCAAATTTTAAGATGCTTTTGTTCTGCAACCTAGTCATAATGAATACTGTACATATTATATATAACAAGGAATGTATTACACTGCTTTACATTGTAATACCTAAATCAATGTGAGTAGCACTGCATAATCTCTAACAGTACACACCCACTAGAGTTAATAGGCTTAGCAAAAAGGATAGATAGATACTTCTTTCACATGTTTTTGAAATTTCAAAAAGAAAATCACACAAAAGAAGCAAAATAATAGGATATCATAAAAATAGAATTATTCCTTGTGTAGTCTTGTACTACTAGGCCTGCAGAATTCAATTGTGAATTCTCATACATTTTCTGTAATCAAAACATGAAAATGAAGTAGAATATTTAACTTTTTTACTTGGTTTTGAGAAAGTATATCTTCATTTCTTGCACAATTACTTCTACTTACTTATGTTATGACTCAATTGGCATATTCAGTATTTTGTATTGCTGCTTAATTGGTAACCTGTATACTTTTTTACTCAAACAAATATTGAAAGTTAAAAAAATTAATTTCTTACCACAGTGGTACTATACAAAATATAAAGACAATTGTGTAAATATCTTGTTGTATGATATCCTTCAAATCTAGTCTCTTAAAGATGAGGTTTTAGAACATAAGACTAGCTAATTAATTAATTTGACCACATCTGAAAATAAACTACTTTAATATAGTTTACAGAGGTGCACATGTATATATAGCAAAATAATATATATATATATAGTTCTCAGTTGCCAGAGAATATAAAATATCCTAGACTAAAAAACATTATTATTTGCATAAATATATTTTAAAATTTATTGTAATTATTGTAAAATATTAGAAACACAATTGGCCTAAATAAACACAATATTTATCATTCTGTATCCATCTATTTTACAAAATCTGCCCATTATGTCAAATTAGAGGTTATATTTTCAATCCCTGTACTGTGCAATTGGTGAATTTATCCATGGATTATACACGTGTCACTGTTCAGTTCCCCTTAAAGGACCACTATAGGCACCCAGACCACGTCAGCTTAATGAAGTGGTCTGGGTGCCAGGTCCAGCTAGGATTAACCCTTTCTTCTATAAACATAGCAGTTTCAGAGAAACTGCTATGTTTACAATGGGGTTAATCCAGCCTCTAGTGACTGTCCCATTGACAGCTGCTAGAGGCGCTTCCGCACTTCTCACTGTGATTTTCAGTTTGCCCCTTAAAAAAAAAAAAAAATCGACAGACGCCTAGTTGTGTTAACATTTTTACACTCATTTAAATAGCATATTCTGTCCTCAACACATTATTATGTTTGACATCGTATTTGCTAGTTTAAATCTGCTATACTACCAGCATATTTGCATGCATTTTATTTAACAATATACACTTTGCATAATAAAAAAGAATGGTATTTGGCAACTGCCTCCATCAAAGAAGTACTTGTTTTTTTTTAAATTTATTTTGTTGCATTATCAGTGTGGAATGTATTTAGGTGAAGTATATTGGATAAATCCATAGATTCTCCACTGCTCTGATATACAGCATACTTAATTCTGTAATTTATGTAATCCTTAAACATCTGTTATTTTTCCATTACAAAGACTGCAAAATTTCTGTAGCATGAAACTCCTTCTCTCTTTGTTTATATGCATGCCTGAACACTATCTTTTAACAGCGTGGTATTTTAAAATGCAAAAGAAATTAAAAAACAAAGCCCTTGAGTAAGCAAGCAAATTTCAGTACACTCCATAACATTATCTACATTAACTAAAATTGTAATTTAAAGTAAAATATACTTAAAGAAATAAGTTAAGAAAATGAGAACAGCTTGTTCATTTTGTTTTTTGTTTTTTTTAATTATTAGCAAAATCCACAGTTACATGTCAGGTGCCATAAAACAAAGCAGGAGCTACAGCATAGTGACTAGTAAAAATAAAAAAATAAAAAAATAAAGTGATTTTTAGCAATGAAATTCAGCAGGTTAAAGATTGCTTTCTTATACTATCTGTTATTACTATAGGGGGGCAGATGTACTTCATAATTAAAGCTGCACCATCACCCCCACCACAGAAAAGAATAGATATAATTTTTTATGAAATACTCATTTGACTGTGTTGTCTCTTAATTTCTGCTCTGCATTACTTTCCTTGATACAAAGCGGAGCCTAAGTACCAATCCTGGTAGCTGGCTGTGGTTGTGTCTATGGAGGAGCCTGCGTTCTCCATAGACATCCGTGCTGTACTCTCATGCATTAACAAGATCTGTGACATAAGCACGGAGGAGGACTAGTACAAACAAGGGGAATAGAGGTAGCGCCAAAATAGTAAAAAAATACTAGAATAAATAAGAAAAAAAAAACAATAAAACAGACCAAAGTAGAATAATAACAATAAAATGTCCAATATAAAGTCCCAATATAAAACTTGCCAGAAGATATAGCCTCAGTTCTGTCAGGGAAATTCTTCTATAAAAGAGCCAGATCAGCCATATATAAAAACAGAGAGAAAAGACTATTGGTGCAGTATTTCCCAGAGAAATGTAATAACAATAAAATAAGTCTTTATGGTCCTTCTCACATTTGTTAGAGCTTAAACCCAGCTCTAGTAGGAATAGCATACAGTGGTACAATCCCCACTTATATGTGAGGAGATGTTGATAGACAGGTATTTAGTCAGTATGAAGACCATAAAAAGTATAAAAGAGACACTAGTACTCACAGTATAAAAGGTACTAGGAGTATAAAATAATGAATGGTTACTCACATTTAATTGAGCAAGCAGACTGCTCAATGTGTATGTATAAGTGGTATAATCCCCACCTAAGATTCTTCATGAGTAGTCCTCACTGGAACAGTAAAATTGGATGGCAGGTAGAAGGTACATATATAAAGTAATAACAACGAATAAAAAAGTAAAATGGCACACTGATAATGGGAAGTAGCCAAATACTTTTATTGATATAAAATAAACAATATAAAATATACACAATGTGTTTCACCAAAATGGTTTTTCAAAGTGGAGGTGAAAACTTTCTTTCTATCTATCATTTTACTTTTTTATTCTTTACTATTTTATATTTCTACCTTCTACCTGGCATTACTGCTCCAGTGAGGACTACTCCTAAAGAATCAATTACATGTGAGTAATCATGCATTATTTTATACTCCTGGTACCTTTTATACAGTGAGCACTATTGTTGTCTCTTTTATACTTTTTATGGTCTTTATACTGACGAAAAACACTTGTCTATCAATATTTCCTTACGTCTCCTATGAGTGGGGATTTTACCACTGTACGCTATTCATACTAGAGCTGGGTTTAAGGTCTAACAAATGTAAGTAGTTTTTTTCTAACCACTGAGGAGGACCATGCTGGTCCAAGATGGCGGCACCCATGAGGGACAGGCAAGTAAACTCACCTTTATCTGCCCCCCTTGGCAACCAGACTCCCAGCACTGATGTCACTGTTGGGGGACTTTGCAAATTTGTCAAAGTCCCCAAACGGTGACAGCGACACTGTAAGTTCTATTCCATAGGCTACAAGAGAATTGCACCCCCATCTCATATGATACTCTGTCTTCTAGTTAAAAAGATCTTATTTATCTTTCTACCTTATCATCAATATTATTGGGTAATTTCAACATATTTTTGTCATAAAATACCTGCAACTAAATATTGCTTCATGCATTGTAGGTAAGTATTTTGAAAATTGGGCAGA